TCATAACTACTTTGCCCTCCACACTGGAGCGCGAAGGAGTCCGGATTTCACCAAGAGTCAAAACTGCCGACGTAGATTTGAGTCACCTGAGGTTTTGCCACTTTACTAGGTGAGGGACATGCTAGGGTCAGGAAGGGGGCGGGGTGGTACCAAAATGCACTTTTTCTAGCATTACAAAATTGATGTTTCCAAGCGAATTCACAAAGACTACGCTAACGTGACCCGAGCGAAATTAAGGATTTTAAAAATGCCTACAGCTCTTACATTTCGTGGGTGGCCCTAAGGACAGGACTTAGCATAATTAAATGGCGGTCTGAAGAACTAACCACAGAAGCGGTAGAAGGAGCGCCCTGGCGCCTTAATCACGCACCGAGCGGAATGCCTGTAGGCGGAGGGCGTGGGGTGGCGGCCGGGCCGCCCAGGAGCCTGTCCCGCAGGAGGGAGCTCCTTTCCACGCGCAGTCATGCCCTGGTGCACAGAGCTGGAGACCCGAGTGAGGACACCGGCTCCCGGGCCTGGTCACTTAGAAACGGCTTGGCCTCAGGTTTAGGAGGGACCTAGCCTGAGGACGGGAAACAGCGAGGTCCAGTTAGCGCTATTTAACCCCAAGGACCCCAGGTGTGCGGGTGACGGCGCTCAGCCCGGTGTATGGGGTGGAGGGGAGTCAAGTTTGACAACCCTTCCTGACATCGCTTGGGGCCGACACAACCCGCGTTTTGCTGGCTATGGCAGCACCGCACAGGTTTCTGCCATTTGCTCGTTCGCTGGGCCGCCCCGGACTAACGCGCTCCGCCGCGCCCCGGGACTTCCGGTCCCTGCCGACGGCCTCCTCGCCGGCACCGCGGCTGCGGCGGGTATCGCAGAGACAAGGGAGGGTGAGGGCCCTGCGGGAGAAAGCTGGGGCCCAGGAGCCTTTTGCTCTCACCCCCGCTCCCCCCCCCCCAAGCCTGGAATCGCAGTTAAATTCTCTCGCCTCTCCCACCTCCCGATACCGGGGGCGCCGACTGGTTAGGAACTCCGTTAAGTCGTTTTCCATCTTACGCTTCCAACTAAAGTAAATACGCAGTCACGTCCAAACGAAGGATATAAGAACACAAAAAATGAAGGTGGAACGCACAGCTCTTCTCGAGGGAGTGGGCGGCCCTGAAAAGGGCCTTTGGTTTTTCTCCACAAAGTGAGCTCGCGGGTGGAAACTCAGCCCCCGAAACCGTAGAGGGTGCGGCCCTGGCGCTTGAGCGCATACACCACGTCCATGGCCGTGACCGTCTTGCGCTTGGCATGCTCCGTGTAGGTGACGGCGTCCCGGATCACGTTTTCCAGGAACACCTTGAGCACCCCGCGGGTCTCCTCGTAGATGAGCCCAGAGATGCGCTTGACGCCGCCGCGCCGGGCCAGGCGCCGGATAGCGGGCTTGGTGATGCCCTGGATGTTATCACGCAGCACCTTGCGGTGGCGCTTGGCGCCACCCTTCCCGAGCCCCTTGCCGCCTTTGCCACGTCCTGACATGTTTGCAGTTTGAGCAAGCACAGCCTACCAAGCGAATCTGCCCTTCCTTTATATAGTGGTACTGCGGACCTGTTTGAAAACTGGTAGGGTCAGCGCTATATGTTCAGAGAGTTATCAGACCAGATGCCCTCACACACATTTTCAGGAAAATAGGAAGGGCGGTGCTTAATTAAACCCCATTGTTTAGAAGAGCGCCTTATTACCCAAGCACACAGCTAACCTACTAAACGATGGAAAGCTGAAAACTATTTAAGATTAGGAACAAGACAAGGACATCCACCTTCACCACTTTCATTCAACGCAGCATTGGAAGTCCTAGTTACAAAAGTCAAACAAGAAAAATAAATACAATATATCCAAATTGGAAAGGAAGAAGTAAAAGTGTCATTATTTGCAGATGACATACTATATAGCGAGAACTCTAAAGAGTCCACCAAAAAACATCAGAATTCAGAAATGAATTCAGTAAAGTAGCATAATAGAAAATTAATATTCAGAAATCGGTTTCATTTTTATACACCAATAACAAAATATCGGAAAGAAAAATTTAGAAAACAAACTGATTTACGATTGCATGAAAAAGAAATTAAATACCTAGGAATAAATTTAACCAAGGAGGAAAAAGACCTGTGCTCGGGAAGTTATGAGATACTGAAGAAAATGAAGAAGATACAAATAAATGGAAACATATACTGTGTTCAGGATAGGGAGGGTTAATATTGTTAAAATCTCTCATGCAACAGTTGGTATACCCAGCTTTCTGATTTTGCCAATCTGCTTGGCGTTATACAGTAGTTCATTGTTTTAATCTTTATCTGGTTACAAGTGAAATTTAAAAATTCTTCGTATAACTGCTAGGCATTCAATTGTCTCCAGTTTTAAAAATTGAGACCTTTCTTTCCTTCAAGTTAGACGATCAACTGCTACACTCAAGACATATTTTCTAATACAGAGCTGTCATTCCTATACACCCTCTTTCAGGCCACTTAGGTAGATGAAAGAAATTAAATGCACCTTCTACCAGTTTCCATCTCAGGAAGTACACTATTTCTAATCTTGTCCAGGTAAGAAACCTATTATAACCAGCAGAGATATATAAACAACCATTTTTCACATTTCAGAACCTCTTTCGTGACAGCCACATCAGTAGGAAAGGCTTAGCAGCACATCCCATTGCAGAGAGTACACCCTAAGCATCACTTGTAATGAATTCTTGGTGACCATACTTACTCTCCTGTTCAATATCTCAGAGGACAGAACCAGGAAGCATTTGTTCTCATCTAATTGTTTCAACATCTTTCCTGCCTCCTAAACAGAGATAGTTCCTGTGATCCAAATTGTATCCAGATTTGGAAGAGAAGTTTGGGAAATTTTCCCTTGTGAGACAAAAACTAACAGAAATCTTCAGAGAAATAAGATTGCCTGTTAGCAGAAGTGACATCCTTAAAATGAGTTGCTTACGTGTTACTAATCAAATGGGATTGGTCCTAAAACTCAAACAATGACAAGAGTGACTACTTAATGTAATCGTATCAGATGATTTCGGTGTGTTTTCCCAAATCTATGCTAGGCACACCAAACTAAGATTCTGGGATGAAATTGAGTTCCATGAGTATTTATGTGCACCTAGTGCATTCTCCGGGGCACTGTCCTAGACACTTTCATATAACACCACAATTAAACTTTAAAGCAATCTCTTGAGGAAATAAAGTATCCATTTCATAGTTAAGGAAAGTAGCATCTAAAATAACCTGTGACATAACTGATTGTTAGTTTATATTGGAAAAATACAGAGTCACTACATACTGATTCGTAATGGTTATTTAACAAGTATATCTGACCAGGAATGTACAGTTTCCAAAAACAAGGGAGGGCTATGAGAGAGAAAGAAGGGCTCAGTTCCAATGTCTAACTCAGCGTGCATTGACACCAAGCTTCCTATGCTGAAAATTCCTGTTGGAAAATAACTGGGCCCTAACTAGGTTTCCCAGTTCCAACACACCTCACGATTTTGTTTTATTAATCAAATTTGACCATAAATGTAAAAAAGCTTTATAAATAAAGGGGAGGACACATGAATGTTGTTTGTTAGCTGTTTGCTCGGAAATGTTTTTTTAAACATTAATGGTATCCTGATATTAAAATCAATGTCTGGTCACAGGGAAATTGACTCCCAGGGGTTTTACTCATTGCTAGGTGAACTGGGAGAAAAGTGAGATTTTTTCCCCCCCTCTCCAAAGCTGATAGTTAGAGGTGATCATGCGAGGTGCATACCTGCAAAGCAACCTTACCTGAGCAGCTACTAGACTTCACCCTCTTTCTAAATCCTTAACAGCACTAACCTGGTCTCCAGCAGCAAAAGAAAATCCTGTCAATTACTCAGTCATGACTAAGGCCCAGTAATGAGCGCAGACCTCCCTGTGGGAAGGTGCAGAGAGCTATGGGACTTGGTAATCTTGTGTACACTAGTGGAGTCAACCAAATGACTCCTAACTACTCTTTTTTTTACCTATTGCATCAGTTATTTATTGTAGTATAATTAATTACCCAAAAAGCTAGCAGCTTAAAAGAACAGATCTATTACCTGGCACAGTTTCTGCAGGTCAGGAACCAGAGTGGATTAGCTGCATGGTTCTTGTTCAGAATCTCTCAAGAAGTAGAGTGAAGCTGTCTGCAAGGGCTGCAGTCAGCTAGGGGCTTGATGGGGCTGACCCGGCTCCCTCCGATGCTGCTGGGGGTCCCTCACTGGCCATGGGAGAAGGCATCAGGTTCTCATCATGCAGGCGTCTCCACAGAGCTGCCAGAATGTCCTCCCAACATGGCAGCAGGGTCCCCCAGGACAGTGACCTGAGAGCAAGCAGGAAGCACGTACCTGCTAGGGCCTGGGGCCTAGTCTCCAGGGCAGCACCATGGTTTATGCCATGGACCTTATTCTCTTCAGTATAAGCCAGTCTCTAAACCCAGCCCACACTCAAGGAAAAAGGAATTAGGCTCCATTTTTTGCAGGGAAGAGTATCAAAAGATTTTTGGACAGTTCCTAAAATCACCTTTTCTATGTCCATATTCAGGCTTCAAAGAGAGCATGTCCTCACTGACCCAGATGTTCTTGTTGAGGAGTGGGGAGACATTAGAGCAACCCAACTTCTGCCTTTTCCCTTAAGAAAAGGCAGCTTAAAAAAACTGCCCCAGCTTAAAAAAAACCTAATTGTCCTTTATTTTCCTATAGCCATTGCAGGCTTACCCCAATCTCCTCTTCAGGTTTGTGGAAAGATTTCTGCACTGACATCTGCTGGCTTTGTCACCCAATACTCGAGTACCTTTGGAAAAGACAAACATTTCTAGAGCTAGATAGGGAGTAACAATGCCCTGTGGAAAAACCGGGAGCTATTGTCAGGTTCACATACAAAAAGACATGCGAGAAACTTTGGAAACTGTAAAGCTTTATAAAATTGTCAGTATTATATCCACTCGACATACGAGTGGTGACAAAAAGCATCTGGGATGGAACGCACAGTGTGGGTTGGAAAGGCTCAGTGGCTACCTGAGGCCGAGTGGGAGCGATCTTGGGCCCAAAAGAGCAAATGAGCAACATTCCTTCAACTAGAACGTAATGAGCACCTGCCCCACGTCAGGCCTTTCCTGTTCGTTCTAGGGTCACAACAGCAAACAAAAACTTCGGCCTCATGGCATGATATCCTACGGGTAGAGAAAAAGGGACGCGTTTATTAAAGTTTTAAAACAAGTTCAGAGTTGAGAGGAACAGTCGATACTAGTGTTTCATACATGTGTCATACATGCTCCCTGTTGTCACTCTTGGGCGGTGAGCTAAGGCATAGTACTGCCCCAAATGGCCTCACAATCACTGCTACTTCAGGGAGCCACCAGGTGTTGATGGGATGGTACCTGTGGACTGCTTCTGGCGCTTGTCTGCACTACCGGGCCCTGGAAACTGACAGATAAAAGCCAGAGGGCTAATTTGGTGATTTTACAGTATCAGATCTTGAAGTGGGAGTGGAGGTTAACATTTCAGGTCATTACCCTGTAGAAATTACCAGGTGCTACCGCTCACCAATGAAAAATTCAAGGAAATGCTCAGTAGAAA